AGGAAACTAAAATGATACATATGACACACTCATATCCGCTCTCCCACCTCACTCCCTCACTTCGTTAACTTTACGTATACTTGATGAGGTCCGTAAAAAACGTGTGAATTTCTTTTAATTTTTCATTTCAGCTTTTGGAAGTAAAGTCTGATGATCCAGAACCCTGTTAAAGGGGTTATGGTGGAATAGCTTATTACATGGAATCTTAACGTGGTCTGTCTTTTATTCAAACAAATATATATATATATATATATATATATATATATATATATATATATATATATATTAATTATAATGTTTCAAAAACAACATACAAGGTACTACGGTTAAACTTTTTATTTAATTTTTCTTGTGTCTGAACAAGAACTTTCTTTTCTGGACAAAGGATGTGTAAGAACTGTCCAAATGTTTTATATTTCCGAGCGCTTTCGGCTTTAACTTTAGCCATTATCAAGGATGATTAGATTTTTCAGCTTAATTGAGTGTGTGCGTTCTGTATATGTCTTAGTGTATGGTAGGGATGTTTTTAATTTCCGAATACGGTTAGCACATTGTGGCCTTGTTCATATTTAATATTGTTAAGGGTTGGCTTTTTCTTTTTTATTATTAAAACTTCCATTATTTTTAGTCTTTTTTTGCAGGTGGATGCAGTTAATATATTTGTGTTTTCTACTAGTATGTTTCTAATGGAGTCTGTTAAATTTGTGTGTGTGTTTAAATGGGTTCTAATGGAGCTGTGATCAGATAGATGTAACGTAAGACGTCTGGATAAGCATGTGGTTGTGTAACCGATGTAATTATTTATGAGTCCGGTTTGCTCAGGAACATCATCCTTGATAATGGCTAAAGGTATAGCCGAAAGCGCTCGGAAATATAAAACATTTGGACAGTTCTTACACACCCTTTGTCCAGAAAAGAAAGCTCTTGTTCGGACACAAGAAAAAATTAAATAAAAAGCTTAACCGTAGTACCTTGTCTGTCGTTTTTAATGAAACATGCATAAAGGAAGGATTGCTGCCTAAATATACTATATATATATATATATATATATATATATATATATATATGTGTGTGTGTGTGTGTGTGTGTGTGTTTCATGGAATGTGACAGATAACGAAAATATAATTGACGTAATGCGCTTCGAACAGTAATCACCGTCGGCTCTTAGAGTCTAAAAAAAAAAAACAAACGGTATGAACACAAGAAGAAATGACTGAAATATCAAATTTTCCTCGTCTTTCGCATTCACTTGTATAAGTATAAAGAAAGATAACTGCACACACACACACACAAACACACACACATACACATATGTGGCTTAGGTTCTATGTCCCCTTCAATAAGAATTAGTGGAGCATTTGAGATTAAGAAAAAAACAAATTTTGTTTAGATAAAGAGCTTCCATTGGCTAGTTTTGTAAAATTAAATTCAGTTTTTACCTTAGTTTTATATACAATCGGGATTTTGAAGAAAATCCGAAAACAAAAATGAACAGAAAGAAAGAGAAAAGCTTTTGCTTTCATTTGGGGAAAATGGACACATTCGATTCCATAATGTAATGATGGCCATTTTTATCTCCGCTGTTTATTTGGTTCATTATTAATGGAGAATATACAAACGTTATCTCAAGATAACTCCTTGTAACAGCCTGTATCATTTCCCCGTGTAATTGTTTATTTCCTATCCACACCCTTCTTGCAGGAATGTATATTGTTCATATCCAAACCTCATGTGCGCCGTAAGGAAGAATCTTTTTATATATCAGGGAAACATAAGCGTCGTTCGTATAATCCTCTAGCTTCATCAAGACACATCAAACTTAATTCGATCATGTTGGTGCGTAAGCAAAGACTTTAGGCAACAGAAAAGAAATCTTCTCTCGGCGAAAACGTTACAGGAAGGCAAATAAAAAAAACTATTTCAAAAGTTATAACAAAAGTTGAAATAAGTAAGCAACAAATCAACGAAACAACAGCGTGTAATATGAAAGAATCGAACTTTGAGATCAGGTCAGCCAAGCAATGTTCTTTTCTCTTAATCTAAATCTTGGCTTGAAAAAATAGATAAAAATAGACAAAATATATGTATTAGTTTTCTATACTTTTTGGATCCTACCCATACGCAATCAGATTAAACCAGAAAAAAATATCAAAATTGATTCCTGTGCGTCACCTTCAAACTATCTCGCATGCAACTCGATTTATATAAAAAGAAGGAAGCACCAAGTCGTGTTTTCTTATTTTTATTTCTTGTTCGCAGCATGATGGTGGCATTGTAGCTACTTTCTTCTTGTTTTAAGCAACTATGGAGATTCTCTTATATTTGCCTATCAACTTCTTATAGTTATTGATCTTCGGTTTGAATTATATAGATACCTTGATTTGCTTACATACATTATGTAAAGAGTACGTTAAGGGTAATATTAACGCCATTAAAAAAACGGATTTTATTAAGTTTAACACGCTTCATTAATAATGCAAAACGTAGCTCATGTTTCGAGGTTTATGTAGAATGATAATTTGAACAACTTCCGCGTTTTTTATTTGATTTTCTTCAAACATGTCGCAAAAATTTGCATCATGCAAGAAATAAGATAGTGTTGTCATAATCCTGCTCGCTTCTCCACGTATAACAAAAAACAAAAACAAAAAATAAAAAAAAAAACACGAAAAACGGTTCAAATAAACCGTTTTTCGGTCATAAATTCCTGGTTTTTAATCCGATGCTTTCCAAATTTGCCATGTAAATTACATACGATACACAAATTGTCTTGCGTGAATATTTGGTTTAGATTATTTATAGCAACAAACTAGGTCCAAAATCGTTTTTTTTCCATTTATTCAATAGTTTCTTCATATGATTCCATCCTAATTTGGCATTTGAACAACCTTTGGTGCAAAGATTGTTTGAGAAGAATTATTGAAACGTTGAAAGGGAAAATTTCCCGAACCTCTTCTTAACCCCAGCTTTACAGTCAACGTGCGAAGCAGGAAGGGAAGTTCATGCTTTTGCCCTTGCAGTTGAATCAATCTCTGTTACTTCATCCCTGTTTTTGTTTGATTATTAGATTTATGACCAATGCCATACTATTTGAAAGTTATTACGACCATAGGAAATTTACTGAATATCTAAAACACTGAAACAATTTAACCCCTAGCAACGACCGCACAAGAAGGTTTTATCGATGGAATTTCTTTGTTAAGAAGAAACAAACAGTTGCGAAGGACAAACCGTAAAAAAGATGCGGAAGAGTAGCTTAGTATACCAACGGATGATCCATGTAAGCGGGGATGCAAGCAGACATTTCTAGACAGGGGTTGGGGGTTATGCAATTGCAGTCATGTACACCCGAGCAACGCGGGTTTCTCGGCTAGTGAACAATAAAATATACAGTTACAATATTTTCGTCGCGTCACATTTACCACTACCAGATTTGTTTTAGATAAATCATTCATCTGTTGTGCAATCTATACCGAATTTCCTTAAAAGAGCACTTACATCAGCATAAGGGGTCAAAAACATTTTCCGTATTTCGGTACCAAGACAAAGCTTTTTTTTCCCCGGATACAATGATATTTTTTCTTTTAATCTAAATCCCAACATCTCATCTCTTTGGGTGCACTGAATTCTCTCCTTAAATTATAAGCTTCATTCTTAGAAAATCATTTTGAATCATTGCTTGAAGATATATTCTTCATCTTTATCAGTTATTTTAAACATGAATTTAGTATTTAAAAGTACTGAATTAAAACATGTGTAAATCAAATAAAATATATGCATCGTGTGAATGAAATAAAGCTTTTTGATAAAAAGTGTTACGGGAAGGAGAAAATGATTCTCATTTTTGAATCCAGCATCGAAATATAAATAAGATACTCATTAAATAAGAAAAGGTAATTTTGTCAGTGTATACCGTGTAAATTTATTCTTTTAAATCTTCTTTTATAGTAAAGATACCTGATATATCAGTTCTGTGAGGAGCATCTCGAGGCGGAGAAATGGTTAGCACGCTTGTCTTACTAGAAAAATTACGACTGAATTCGTGAATTCGATCCTCACTGGGTGCCCCATACTTTCGGCCTTATGTCACAACTAAGCTGCGCTTGGAAACTCACTATATTAGTGTTGTAAGCTGAAACATCATCACCGAACTTATAAGTTTCGCTTGTTGATTTTTTTGCGGCTTATCAGCCCATTTCAGGTTTTAAAGTTACAGGATATTTTTTAGATTGTAATAATTCTTTAGCAGATACAAATCATAGCAAATAAGTTGGAGGAGAAGGGGTATAATCATAATTTTCCCAATGATATTTGCGCGTAATTGAATATATATCTAAACCAACTGGAATTGAAACACGGCTCTCCGATTTAAAATTCCGAGCCCTTATCCATACACCACCTGCATATCCAAGCTTACAGGACAAAGTATTTCCAAACGGTTACCCATCTAGACACTGACAATTGCTTAATTTCGGTGATCGTATGATGACTAGTGTTTCAACTTTATTTGACCGTACGCCTTTTGAAAAGGTAAAACTATAAAACGAAAAACATGAATATTTTCATGTTGTAATTTTGGGTAAAATAGTAAAATTAGCATATTTTTAATAATTTATCTTCCATTAGGCAATATTTATATTGTGAATTAGTAACTGCATCACAAGCAAGTAATATAATAATTCATAACTAGAGTCAACTTGTTATACTAGAATTTTGCTACTACCATTTATTTCGACTAAATCTAACACTGAAACGTTTTTCTTGAACAGGACATTGGACATAAGTTGTCTTTTGACATTAGTATAATCAACCTTACGTGACGAATTGGTAATTTAATTCACTTGAGTTCCACAGAAACATAATTTTGTGAACTTTTGGTAACTTACAGATGAGAAACAAACTAATAATTATTCGTTCATCTGACAAGACTGTTAGCTATTTTGTAGTATGTGATCACGCCATACCCCCCCCCCCTCCGATATTTTGAATCGAATTTAATATCAATAAGCAAATGGAGAGAGACAGAGAAGATATATTGTTAGTGATAAGAAGAAAGAAAGTTGAGAAATAAAAAAAAGATCAATTGGAGAGAGAGAGAGAGAGAGAGAGAGAGAGAGAGAGAGAGAGAGAGAGAGAGAGTTAGAAAGAAAGAAAGAAAGAAAATAAATTGTAAAAAAATATTTAAGAACTGTTTTTTGAAAATGTTTAGTTTTTAAGATAGGGTACCTTTATTCTAAGGGAAATTGATCTGGAAGTCTACCTTCTAGCCACTTCGTAGGACGTCATTGGCTTCCTGCGACATTTAAACAGGTGGTCAACCCAGGTGCGCTTGGGATGTGCACACGCCGACAACCGGATGACAGGAAGAGCCCAACTCGAGCGGGAAAAGACAAGCGAGTCTCTTACGTCTTCGTCAGAATAATCCAGGTTCGGAGAAAGCCTCCAAAGTCGCACAGCCATTCGCTGATATTAATTGACGTAGTCAGTAGTTGAATAAACAATAACTTATGAGAAATTCAGTCTCATGTTCTTATTTTTATACACTAACAATAGGAGACTACACACACACACACACACACACTTGTGTGTGTGTGTTCGTAGAAATTTCAGATCCATTGAAATTAAAACTATCAACTCTAATTCTCAGTCTTTAAAAAGGATTTCACATACATTCAGTGCGTTGGCTGATGTACATGACAATAAAGGAATGTGTTTTTACATTTTTTATTCCTGGAATTAGTCAATATAATGTAAAGAGAGGAGGAATAAATGTTAATAAATCACAATTTAATTTTTCTACATTAGTCGAGTAATTTTTGTCATTTCGAATACTTTTCAGAATTTCTTTCTATAAAACTCAGTACAGAGGCCTTGTCTTAAAAGAAATGTTTTGCCGACTGATGCAAAAGTATTTTTTTAATAAGAAAGTAGAATAGACTCCTAACATAACCTACTGTTTATATGGAAACCCGTAACAGTAAAAAAAATTACCGAAAAGGTCATTTATTAGAAAGCGGTGAAAGCCTGAGAAAACAAAAGAATGTAGCAGGAAAGAATGATCGTAATTTGATCATAAAATTATGAAAGATGTTAAAAATAACAACATCATAGCCATAAAAGTGTTTATGGGGGTGTAATGAATCAAACAGGACGTTTGGGAGGTTTCAACATGACAGTTCAAAGGTTAGTGAAGAATACTTTTACGCATGAAAGATTCAGTCTCGTTTTCTTATTAGTTTTTGAAACGATAACATTGACTACTGCGCTGGAACTCTCATAGAAGAGAAAAGAAATAAGGTAAACCGAATTCTAGTAATTCAACAATGAATACTATCAAGTCTATAAAGAAAAGTGTGTTGATTTCCGACTGGAGTGAGAAAGGTGTAGATCTGAAGATTGTTGAACGGAGAAATTTAGAATCATGATGAAAAGAAATAAACAAAACAATAAAGAAAACTAAAGGAAAATTTGTGATAAAGTTTTGATAATTCTGTAAGAAAGGGGAAGGCAGAGTTTAGGATAATCCGATCGTCAACTGGATTAATGCAAAGATTTAAAAAAAATCCGTTTTTTTCAGATTTTTTGTTTTATTTTTAATGTGAAGATTTCCGACAGAAATTCGATACAATAGAATTTAAAAGATAGATCATGTAAAATCAAGAAGGTAAGAGAAAGAATATAAAAAAAAAACCCTAGAATGCAAATAAAAAAAACAAAAAAACAAACAAAATAAACGAGAAATTATATAAATGGTAATGGTAATATTAGACGTTTCCTTATAAGGAAATATTCAAATTAATTGACCGACTAGTTAGCGCTGATGTCGATTAAAATTTATAAAAAGTTTCTCTTAAAAAATAAAATTGAGGAAAAAAAGTTTCTTAAGTTCAGTAACTGTTACCATTCTTTCCAGCGTTGATGGCGGTTTCCTTCCTTGCCTGTTGTTTGTGGTGGTGTGGAATATAAGAATCTTTATTTTTCATTCTCTCTTCGAGTTAAATGTGCTATCCATTTTAGTTGTTGCCGCTGTTGAAAATCCTCAAGTGATGTGGTCTCTGTTATTTGGTATATTTCTTTATCTGTGATTCTATAGCACCAGTCGAAGAGGTTCTAAGAAGGATGGTCCTTGCCGTCACCTACACATTTCACTCACTCAAAGACATTTTAAACCATCATTCTGAGAAAGCGGTTGTATACAGCTGACAATTTCGACATGTTTGAATGACATATCGAAATTGTCATCTGGCATCCAGATGAAAATTTCCATCTAACGAGATTATTTAAGAACATGACTCGAGTTTTAAGGTTAATGTTTCGTTTTTGTAGCCAACTTGCAGTGTTGGTTGAAACTATCACTAGCACAACCTTTTTCTATGTTATCTCTTACAGTAAATTTGTCGTAACTGATCCAAACACCGATGTATTTGAGGTGTTTAGTATTTACTAATTCCACATACGCGACATCAGTGATTTCATTCTCATTCCAGAGCATAGTTTCCTGTTTTGGAAAGATATATTTATTGTGTCTGACTTCTTGGAAGGTCATAAAACAGATTTTGATGGAAAGGAACAGAGAGAAAGAATGAAAGTGAGAGAAAAGAGAGAGAGAGAGAGATGTTTACAAATAGAATAAAAGAAAAGAGTATGAATCTTTTGAGTAAGAAGATAAAGAGAAGAAAGTTAACAATAGGAATAAAGAAAATAGAAAGAAGGAAAACAAACGGTGGCTTCATTTTCATGAGAAAACACAGAGAGAGAGAGAGAGAGAGAGAGGGAGAGAGAAAATAGAGAGGAACAGAATGAGGGAGAAGGTATAATCGAAAGAGAGAGAAAAAGAGAGAGGAAAAGAATTAGGGAGAACGTATAATCGAGAGAGAGAGAGAGAGAGAGAGAGAGAGAGAGAGAGAGAGGGGTAAGCTTTAGAAGCGTATGTTTGCAAAGTCTCTGTCATTGGAGAGACACAGAGAAGATATATTGTTAGAGATAAAGCGAAAGCAAGATGAGAAATAAAAAACAACTGGAGAGATAGATAGATAGATAGATAGATAGATAGATAGATAGATAGATAGAGACTGAGATAGATAGATAGATAGATAGATAGATAGATAGATAGATAGATAGATAGATAGATAGATAGAAGCAGAGATAGATATGAACAGACTGAGATAGATAGATAGATAGATAGATAGATAGATAGATAGATAGAAGCAGAGATAGATATGAACAGACTGAGATAGATAGATAGATAGATAGATAGATAGATAGATAGATAGATAGATAGAAGCAGACTGTGATAGATATGAACAGACTGAGATAGATAGATAGATATGATAGATAGATAGATAGATAGATAGATAGATAGAAGCAGAGATAGATATGAACAGACTGAGATAGATAGATAGATAGATAGATAGATAGATAGATAGATAGATAGATAGATAGATAGAAGCAGAGATAGATATGAACAGACTGAGATAGATAGATAGATAGATAGATAGATAGATAGATAGATAGAAAGAAAGAAAGAAAGAAAGAAAGAAAGAAAGAAAGAAAGAAAGAAGCAGAGATAGATATGAACAGACTGAGATAGATAGATGGTATTTATCAATCCACCCGCGGGGATCGAATGTGACACAAGGCCTTTTTAATGTGGGTATGTCTGAGCCCGTAGGCCCAGCCAAAAATAAATAACCATCCAAACCCGCCGAGGCGGGCCAGTTCCGTCAACCTCCCCCAACGAAACCCCACCCTTCGGCGGAGCTTCGTCCGGGTTCCTCTCTGCAAGCAGAGAGTTCGACAGACATCCGACCCGGCAGCTCACAAAGCGCAGATACTACACTTTGATCCTAGCCACCGGGCCGAGCGGGTATTCTTTTTAGAGATAGATAGATAGATAGATAGATAGAAGCAGAGATAGATAGATAGATAGATAGATAGATAGATAGATAGAAAGAAAGAAAGAAAAGAAAGAAAGAAAGAAAGAAAGAAAGAAGAGATAGATATGAACAGACTGAGATAGATAGATAGATAGATAAAGTAAAAAGAGATTCATGGAAAAAAGTTGTGAAAAATTTAAGAACTATCTTTTGGAAATATTTAGTTTTTTAAGTTAGGGTATTGATTTTGATTGAGTGAAATGTTTTGCGCACGCCTAGGTAGTTCTCGGAGTCTAACTATTGTTCCTAATATAATATATATATATATATATATATATATATATATATATATATATATATATATATATATATATATTCCTCTCGACTCTCCCGTCGAATTCGACGTATGAGGGTCAAAGCAGATCACTTTTTAGGAAACCGACAGCTCAACAACAACACATGAGATTTGATTATATTGGTGAAGGTTTCGTGCTGGACCATTCACACTTTTTGAAGGGCCGAATACAGAGACCTGGTGCAGTTACTAAATATTAACTGCTTCAAATATAAAATATAAAAATAAAAATACCATAGCTACTGAAGTTCCACCCTGGAAACAGGCATCTATGTTATTTTTATTTTACCAGCAGGACACGTATTAATGTTGAACTGTGTACTTTTCAACCTATGACCTTTACAAGATAGCCATAAGAAAAGTGACAAAGTCTTCCTTAAAAATACTGAAATCTCAACGATCGTTATGTGCACTGATTTTCTACAGGTGAATGAACATAAATAAAATATCTACTCCCCATGGGAAATAGAGGTTCGATATTGTAGCTCTTGCCAGCGAGAAAAGTTTACATTACCTTATTTCGCTGATTATGAGACGCATATTCTCCTATAAAATATATCCCGAAACTACCCTGAGTCCTATAAATCGAAGATCGATGACGGGTGTTATAAGTTTAGAGCGTAGGGGGGGGTGCCACCTTTCCGGTTATATCTGATTCTCATCCCTTGAAAGTAAAACAAATCCAGTGTTTCAAAATTAAAATAACGTTTTGAAAGAAGCTATTTATGCAGTTGAGATAAACTTATCAAGATTACCAGTGATGAAGACTTCAAGCTATAATACCGGCATAAGGATTCAGCCGTGCGGTAAGAACTATCGTATGTTTTTAATCTACACATAAATCAAATTTAACCTTATTTTCGTATCCAGATTGACATTTATTAGTATTACGTCCTGGTTTCTGATGTATTCGTTACGATCATTGTGGATTTCAGGCTGCAATAAGGTTAGGATTCAGTAGTATTATGCACTCTAAAATCTCTTCTAATTATTACATTCGAAATAGTTACCATAAATTTGGTACTGCTTTTTGGTCTGTAATAAATGTTTTAAGATTAGTCAGGTTTTCATGATGAAATATGCAATTCATTGGGTAAAATTGGGCAAAATGGGGTGGGATGTTAAGTACAAGGCAAAGCATTTTACCTAATTGCTTCCTTGTGGGGGAGGGGCTTTAATGCAATCGCAACGTCTTATAAGCAGTGAAATATGGTATTTAGATTCAAAAATAGATTCCCGCAAACGAGAGGAAGAGATAACATAATGAGAGAGAAAAGATGATAGGAAATAGATGGAAATAGAGAGATAGAAGAGAAAAAGGATTGGAAAAAAAGGGAAAGTAAAGAAGAGAAAAAGCGACAGAAAGAAGAATAGAGAGGTAAAAGGAGAAGAGGAGAGATAGGAATAGAAGATAAAAAAATTAGAAGAGAGAAAAAGAAGAGAGAGGAATATAAAAAGTATAAAAGTCAGAAGATAGAGAAAAAAGAGAAAGAGGAATAGAGATAATAAAGGAATGGAAACGATATACAGAGAGAGAGAGAGAGAGAGAGAGAGAGAGAGAGAGAGAGAGGGAAGAGAGAGAGAGAAAGGGAAGAGAGAGAGAGAGAGAAAGAGTATTGGAAAAAGAGAGAACAGTTCTGAAAGAAGTAAGAGCCAGACTCCACTGCTCCTTGCGATAGATATTGAAGTAGAGGTTCCGTTTAGTTATGGCGGCAGTGCATTCAGGGCTGAACCGGGGCTGGCTGCTTGGGTTTTGCTGGAATTTGTGTTGGGTATAAAGCGCTCCATACCAGAAAAGATACATTCGTTGATTAGGGCAGCAGTTTTAGGAACAGCATATTTGAAGAAGTTTGGCAGAGGAGCTTCCGTCATATAGAACGGAAATGTTGTCCCAGTTTGCCTTCGTAAAGCGAAAAACTGTTCTATTGAGATGTCATTGGTTTGGAATCAATCTGGACTCTGACTAGGGAATGGTCTATTGAGCCTATTAAAAATATCCTAAGCATTTGTCAGGGCAGGATGTGAGAGGATTTCATCTGCTCTACTGTTGCTCTGGTGAGTTCATAAATGATCTGGGTTAGTTCATAGGTGATGGAGAAGTTGCTGCAATATCTGCCTTTCTTATCGCTTTTGTTCGAGTGGACTAAACACTGTATGAACATTGAAGTCATGACAAGAGAAATTCGGTATATATATATATATATATATATATAAGGTGTATTTCAGCAGTAATAATTTATTCAAACATTTTAAAGAATTAGTTCTGCGTATGTCTCTCAATTTTTTTGTTAAATCTTAAAAAATTCCGAAGTAGTCGTTTTATGTTTTCGGTAATTAAAGTTCTTATTTATTTTTATTCTATATTATATTTTGTGAGCTCTTTCGGATGTTGCTACATTCATTTTGAACGATTCTTTTCTGTATATTTACGCAATTGCTTGTTTTTCATTCTCACGTTTGATGGAACCAATTTCAAATCACTGAAGAACCGGCAAACTGAAATTTTTTTATGCGTATAAAGTTTCCTAATGTCGGCTGTTTCTCTTGTATTATCCCACTCGACAGAATTTTGCGTCTTTCTTTGCACTGTGTCCTGTAGAATGTTAGGTGTTATCTACTAAAATTTGTCTTACGCTAATATTATTTTGTTTATTTGTTATATGTTGATCTATCTGTGCGCAGATTGCACTAAATTTTTGCAAATGACAAGTCAACCTACGAGAGAGTGGGGTGTATGTGTGGCCAATATAAGAAATTAATGTTGTTTGTTGATTGTTAGTGTTGGAATACAATCTTGAAAAGGACATAAAGAATTCATAAACGACATTATATATATATATATATATATATATATATATATATATATATATATATATATATATATTAAATGCGGTTAATAATTCAACGAAAACATTACCGATTTATTCAACTGATTGAATATAATGGTAGATAGTGATATTGGTAGAATATTTATTATAAAGCGTTCAAATACTAAATGTAACCTAGTAGCGATGAGACTTTCAGTTACAGTATTAACCGGAGCGTACAACGGCCGAAACGTTGTGACAAATATGGCGACAAAGATGAGGACAATAGTCCGACTAATATAAATACTGTACCTCATCTCAGAAATATAGACAGACTTTCAGTTAGTTTATCAATTTTCAGACACATTATCTGCAATTTTTATTTGATGTATTCATAAACCCCGTAAGCTGTCGAGATCAGTGACAGTCCACTAGACAAGGGCTCATATGGCTTAAAGTTTTAATACTTAGCATCAGAGTAATTTCTTAAATAAAAAAAATGCGAGCTTGAAGCCATAAGGCTGTCCCAATGGAATTAATCGGTATCTATTTATTACAGAATATATTGATAGGTGTTTCTTCTGGCGTTTTTATTTTATAAATTGCTCTACCAACTTGATGCTAAATATTAAACCTTTAAGTATGTGACCCTTTGTCTACTGGACTAGCATTGATATATAATCCCGCTCGTTCATAGAGCCTCTGAAATCAATAAATAAGAATTTCAGATGCCTAATATCTATACAACTCAGACAAGGTATTTAGAATTTATAGCCTCTTTTTCGAGAGGCTGAGACATTGTTACAAAATTAATAATACCGGGCCTAAGTTCTGTGACCTAGAAGTAAATTGAAATTTTACTGAAAGCTAATTTAGTAGTTCTTGCTCCCAGATGGTTAGCATATAATATTCCAATAACTCGGCCTCGTCTCTCTTAAAGTCTCTGTGGAGAATGTCGATAATTTTTGTTTTTTCGTGTTTCGACACAGTAGCAAAGCGAAGAAACGTGCTGAAGAAGAATAATTAAATTTCTACGACATTTAATGAAGAAAGAAATGAAATAATGTATTCGACAAATTGAAATATTCGAACATTTGTGTTACAAAATTGATTGTAAGAGTAGATGTTGTTTCTTGCATTCAGTTCACTGGGAGATGAGTTCTAACGAGTAACGAGAAAAAAGACCACATCATGAAGCGATCTATGAACCTTGAAAATTGACATAATGTAATTATGAAAAGGAAGTTGTGCGTTTATTCCCGTTGGACGTGACACAAAAGAGAAATGAGAATAATATACCTTCTTGAGTAAAGAAAAACAAAAAAAAAACCCAAAATACACTTCTGTTTAAATATTCTTAAAGACACTAGATACAACAGATAGCAAAGACCTAGAAAGCTCATTGGTACAAATTAATTGATATAATCAACAATATGAGGATACTTGACTGAATCATGATACTTCAAAGTAAGCATGAATGTGTTCAATGGTTTTATTCAAAGAATATTTTCCTACTGATGAGCTAGTGTTTATTTGAATTTTTCTTTACAAAGAATTTTTCTTTGCATTTCGTTCTTTCATTGAGTATCTGCAGAAAATTATAGAAAATATGCAAATGCAAAAAGATGGGCTCAAATAGTTATTTTATAATTGACTAAAGCAAAAAATGAGTAACTGTTCTTTCTCGATCAACGAAGTAAAGAAAAACTTTTATTATCTTTATTTACTTCAATTTCGATACTAGTTTCAACTTATCACAGTTTAATTTTTAGCAGAATATATTAAGAAATTGTATAAAGAAGTTGTTATAAAAAGTTCCAACGTAGTAAACACATACATACACATATATATAAAGGGTGCGATGGGTGAATTGTCGCCATGTTATATTTTTAAATTCGCGCATGCGCATTGTTTGTTTTTGTCGACTGCACAGTATAGTAGGGACAATTGGGCACCGTCTAAGAGAAAAAAAAAAGCACCATGACGCAATTCACTGCGCCAGAAATTTGGAAACGGTATACTGTACCGTCTGGCATTCGGGTCGTAAGCTCCAATACGAACATTTCAGAGTGTTTGTGTATCAACAGTCTAGAGGATTCGGAAAGAGTTGGATGAGTCTAATGGTGATCATGAAGGTGTTTGGAGTGATCACTAGTTATGGTGGTGTTATGCCTCCATTCATCTTCCCACTGAGCCTCAAACTCAACTCTGAGGTCTTTATCAAATGCCTTGACGAAGTAGTGCTGCCTTGGTTCAAATGGGTGCCCGCTGGAAGATTCTATGTCTCGTAACCATACCACAAAAGAAGGAGAACCCAGTCATGGCTGTCAGACAATTTCTGCGACCACATCACCTCTTACATCTGGCCACCCAACTCCAAAGACTGCAACCACTTCATTATTATTTGTGGGACTCAGTTGCGCGAGAGAGACCAACAAAACTCACTGTAGCACCAAAGATGAACTGAAAGCAAAGATTATGGAGGTATTCACCAACTTAAACAAAGAGGCCGCCCAGAAAAGATGCTGGAGCTTCCGAAGTCGTCTGGTTGAAGCCAGTTGTGATTTTATAGAATACATTTAGTCTTTTAATTTTTAATTTTAATTTAATACTAAATTTCTTTTGAGTGTCATTCTGATTTCCAAGAACATTTGGGAGATCGAAAGATCTATCAAATACGTTCAATTAGTTTATTTATATTTAGTCGAAAAATTTGAAAAAGAATTATATTAATCTAATCTAATAAACAAAGAAAAATATTGATATTCTCGATGGCTTAGCAGGAGTGAATTTTACTTAAAGCGATCATTCAGAGAAGTACATTATCAAAAATGCTCTGGGGAAATACAATATTAAATATTTGATACTAAAAGCTATTTAGCAGTTTTGATTAACATGGAGTTTTATGTAAACCACTTCAGTGAAATATCAGCCAGTGACATTGCTTACAATTCAAAATGGCTTTTATATTTCTTTTCCCGTTTTCGCTCTTCTCTCACCCCTCATCGTGGAATTAATTAATTAATTAATTAATTAATTAATTAATAATGCTTAAGTGAAGAGCGCGATTTAAGGAAAGAAAAAGAAAAGTGTTTGAAATGTTAAACAATATTTAGACAGTATTTCTGTCGTCAAATTATATTTAAAATAATGTTTTTACGCATAAAACTATATAAATCTACTAAAATTGTACAAACGTTGCTTCTCTTGTAATTAAAAAAACCCGGCTGTACTGGTAATGAACGCGTCAACACGAATGAAACGTCGCCAGCGTGAAGTCATGCAATTGAAACATGCATAATCGGGGGGATCTTAATATTTATTTGTACAAAAAGTACGAAATGTGTCACAAAGGCTAAAAGGGGGGTTGGTGGAGAAAAAGGACCTGTCTACTCTAGCCTTATCTGAAAATAGCTAGTCTCAATCATTGACCCATTCGTACTTACAATTTTCCTTTCATCATAAGAACACATTTACTCATAGCTGTCGTACCATTGTCACTAAAATACCTCATTTACTCAGTGAAAGTTCTAGCATGAAATTTTATTTATACTATTCATGGGGAAGGGGTAAAAATCAGATGGTGATCTTGCTCTTATACTAAATACTAAAGAATAAATGTATTCAATAAAATCGCCATTGGCTTCAACCACGACCTCCAGACGAGTTCGGAAACTCCTGCATCTCTTCTGGACTGTCTCTTTGTTTAAGTTGGTGAATGCTTCCATAATCCTTGCTTTCAGTTCATCTTTGTTGTTACAAGAGGTTTTGATGGTCTCTCACACAACTTTGCCTCATACAATAATCAAGGGGTTGCAGTTTGGGGAGTTAGGTGGCCAGATGTAAGGGGTGAGTAGTCGCAGAAATTGTCTGACAGTCATGACTGGGTTCTCCTTCTTGTGTGGCCTGGTGCAGAGTCCTGTAGTCAGTCATAATGTCTTCCATCAGCCACCCTCTTGACCCAAGGCAGGACTACCTCCACAACGCATTTGATGTAGACCTCCGTGTTGCGTCTGAGGCCCTGTAGGAAGATGAATGGAGGCATAACGTCACCATCACTAGTGGTCACTCCAACACACCATGATGTTGACAGGATATTTTGTTTTCATCATTTTCGGTACATCTTTTGGGGACACAAGCAAGCCAATAGTTGTTCTGTGTGTTATCCTGGCAGAAATTGTTCTCGTCTGGAAAAAAACTGAAGCATGCTCGCTTGGAGGGGATGCTTGAGTTTGTTTAAAAGCTCCGTAGCGCGGTCTTTTCTCTTTTCTTTCATGTCTTATATGAGAAATACCGAATGTCTATATACATTACCTGCCTGAAACTCAGACACTCCCGTGTCCTTGGCTATGGACGTTATTGACTTGGAGGGATCGTTGTCAATCATGGCCTGGGATTTCTTTTATTATCAAAACGATCAAAGTGAGTTTTCCGAGCTGCCATACCTTCCTAATTACCTTTAGACTCATCCAACTCTTTCCAAATCCTCTGCACTACTCTCAGATTGATACCGACTCTGAAATGCCGTTTCCAAATTTCTGGCGGAGTGAATTACATCATGGTGTTTTTTTTTCACAGACGGCATCCAAATCAGCCTACTATACTGTGCAGCCGACAAAATCATAAACAAGCAATGCGCATGCTCGAAATTAAAAATATAACATGGTGACAATTTATATATATAAATACATCTTAGCACAATCGCCATCATCTCTTTGCATCTGTTTTGTTTTTGTTTTTAGTGCTAAAACATTTCGTGAATTATTCAGAGTAAATTCCTCATTGTCCAGTTTTATTAGTTATTATTTTGTACTATTATAACTTGAACGATTGTTGCGAACGTCTCAGTAGAATTTAGAAAGAGTCAGATTTCAAATGAACATTCCCTGTTCAAATATTGAAAAGCTTTTACTCGTCTCACAAAATTTGTGGAAAGGATAAAACGTAGAAAACATTTCTTGTCTCATTGCTTCCTTATCAAAGGAAGAAGCTACTGATATCTTACACTTTATTTGTATGACAAAAAATATATCACTTCGATACACGAATAGATTAGAAGGTAGAAACGATGGAAAATCTGCATTTTTATGCCTGGAAAATCTGCATTTTTAAAATGTGTCGTCTTATACGTTTTTGGCAACACAAACCACAAAGGCCAAACTGACGCCATTGCTATCGATAATTTTGATGATCTTCTATGTGCCTTATCCCTTCAGGACACTAGCTGCCATAGTTCTCCACAATTTCCTGTACTTTGCATTTTAGCAATTATATCACCAGTGACATCGCATTCACCTTCATGGTTCAATATTTTTCAGCCATATCTTTATACACACATGCTCTCACATAAAAACAGATACATATAAACAGGTAACAAAATTATATTTGGAATTTTTACCATGGACTGATAATCCAATTTGTCAATATCCTCTGATCAACGCTGTAGAGTCTGTTTGCTGTATTTCCATTATTAAGCTTTTTGGAATAAAGGAAATTCTATGTATAATTGAAAAAATACACAAATGCATATCACAAACAAACTATTTTCTGTAAATAGGTTTAATCTCAAGATTTCAAGATAACATGAATGTTACGAGCAGATGTTTACTTAGAGAAATCAATTCTTGGTAACTTGTTACATAGTAAGCTCTGAAAAGTGAGAAAAAAAGAAAAAAAAGAAAAAGTGGAAATGAAAACATGCTTTTGTGTGTAAATTTACTATACTTACCCCCCATATATATATATATATATATATATATATATATATATATATATATATATATATATATATATATATATATATATATATATATATATATATATATATATATATATATATATATATATATATATATACAGCTGTATTAAATTTATTCTTTATAAATTATCCAGAAGCATTATTGAAACAGGATATCAAAATTCAATTCTATTTATTAAAGAGGCGGGTTTTATAACATATTACCATTTCTATGTAAGATAATACATAAAGAAAATAATATTAAAATAGATACTGGTTAAACATCTTTAATTTTAATTAGAAATACTAATTACTTTTTTTGAAATACTAATTACTTTTTTTGAAATACTAATTACTTTTTTTGAAATACTAATTACTTTTTTTGAAATACTAATTACTTTTTTTGAAATACTAATTACTTTTTTTGAAATACTAATTACTTTATATGATGATACGTTCTTTGTTTTTCTCGATATAAATTTTAGTTCATTCCAATTTCACAATATTCCAATTTTATTTTAACTCATTCCTTATGTAACTCATTCCTTATGTAAAAGTCTTAATTCACAGATAGATTGTTAAATTTTCTATCAGTTGTTAAAATTTTTCAACTTGACCACAGTGATTTTTAATCAGGTGGTTTCTCATGCTAATTTTCTTTCCGTTGATTTTATCACTTATATTTTAGGAAAAGTAGTAATCGTCAACACAAATAAAACTGTCAACATCGAATTGGTTTACATAAATTGTTCGTCTATTTCACAACAGTCAAGTTATCATGTATTTTATTTTGAATTCGTGACTATGTACGAATGAGTGTATACCTACTGGGTATATTTGTTTGTGTACATGTATGTATATGTTGATCTTGTAAGCGTAGCTTAGATGTGGCACAGGGTCGAAATTATAGGGCACCCAGTGAGAATCGAACTCAATACTCAGTCGTAATTGTTCTAGCGAGACAAACTCGCTAATCATTACATAACGTCGAGGTGCTCTATGATTTACTAAGGGTAGCTTAGATGTCGCACAAGACTGAAAGTATGGGGCGCCCTGTAAGGATCGAACTCACTATTCAGATGTAATTGAGGTAACGATTACACCACATTGAAGTGACCTACACACACACACACACACACACACATATATATATATATATATTATAAATTAATTGATTTAAAATGTTTTTTCGCTACACAGTTCTAACCATGTTTCAAGAATGAAACATGGTTAGAGCTGTGTAGCGAAAAAAAAACATATTTTGAATCAATTAATTTATAATATTAATGCTCTGTAAATTTACATTGAGCACTATTTTGTAAAAATAAAAATATCTATAAGAATACCGGATTATATATCTTACTGGTCCTTTTTTTTATTCATAAATATATAGACACACACACACACATATGTATGTATGTATATATATATATATATATATATATATATATATATATATATATATATATATATATATATATATGGCTGTGTGTATGCTTAATTGAATGTAATAATAGGTTCCAAAATCATATTAACCATTGTTGACTAATTTTTATTTTTGTTAAGTGTAAATTTAATATAAAATATGAATAAATGTAAAAACGTGTTCCCAAAGACCCGTTTGATTATTCTTCTTTTTCTATGTGTCGTGTGCTTTCGGGACGTTGGTGATCATGACTCTTCACCACTTCTCGTCTTTGTAGGTCTTATTAAATTATGATATTTTGTGATCTCTCCTAAACTCTATTCTGCTATCTCACTAAATAGGTTATGCATAGTTTTGCTCTCTTTTTTTCTTCAATCTGCCCTGTGGGTATAAAATTTTTCAAGCCCTCTTTCCTCGTTATGTGGTCTAGAGATTTCAACTGCCTCTTCTTGATGTTAAGTATAGGCGTCCTTTTTGTTTCTGTTTTCATTGAAATTTTGTCGCTGTTCACATGTACAGTTCATGGTATTTTCCGAATCTTTCAGTAGAACCACATTTCTGTTGCTTCAAGTTTCTTCTTCATCTGTGCATTATAAATTACACCACGTAGCAACATCCTGCATAATTTACCGTGATTTTCAGTTAGCCTAATGAATATTCATGAGCGTTCTTAAATTTTAAAATTCTGAAATACTAACGACATTTTTACTTTTGTTTATAAATACTTGCTGCATAAGAAAATCTTTACATTTGCCATGATAAAATCCATAATAGGACGAAACGAGTCATAACTAATAATTTGAGAATAAACCAATATTGAAATAGGGGCAGTCAGAGAGGAAAATGAAAGCGAAATAAAAAGAAAAGATAGAAACAAAAATAGAATAGAGAAAGGAAAAGAAGGAAAATAGTTGGGAATATACGATATATTATTTAAAAGATAAGAAAACAGAGAGAAAGAGAGAGAGAGAGATAAGATAGATAGATAGATAGATAGATAGATAGATAGAGAGAGAGAGAGAGAGAGAGAGAGAGAAATGCCGATAAAACTAAGAGGAGAGGGTGAGACTGAAGTAAAAAAGAAAGATTTATCTTTATGAGGTCAGAATGATGTTTTGAAAACAATGAAAAACAACAGTTGGCTTGCTTTCATTCATTCAACTCAACACTCGCTGTTTAAAAATGCCTTATTTTCTCAATAAATCAAAGGGTCATTTAAAAAGTCAACCTCTAATATCATTTACTATCAACTTTTTGGTAGTATTTTAAAACCTAAACTCATTTGGCTTCTTGCATAATTTCTTCGTCTTTCCTACTATTTCCATATTTCTCACAGGAAATAATAAAAATGGCTGAATATCTCAGTTGGCTGAGAACGAGTTCATTGCACACAAAGCATCTGCGTTTTATAATCAAGTTTTAAAAGCTATTAATTCAGATTTTACAAAAATAGTTAATACTCTTTATTCCGTGCAGTGAGTAATTTTAATGTAACTATCCAGGATCGTAAATGAAAAATTTATTTCTTATTTATGCATAATAGACATTCCGATATCATGCATTTATAGGTTGATTTTCTGGACTGAAATAAGTGTTTGAAAGACAAACTAGTAAGTTGCTTTCAAAAATGCCTATTAAGCCTCGAGTTATTCAAAGATGAATATCTTCAAATCTTTCATAAATTTTGATATAATCAGAGCTACTCAAAATACTGATTTTTAAAAATGATATTATATTTATTAAATATTTCTTTGTTGCAGCATCGATATTCTCCAGGAGCTGATTTTGGGAATTTCTACTAATAAATATTGTCATAAACCTATTCATGAATTTGTAAAATAAAATAATCCAAATCAGTTGTATTTGAAAAGAAATGTATAATTAGAATTGTCAAGAAGTTCTTTCTTCAATTATCTTTAAAAGAGTCGCTTGTGGGTTGGTTTACAATCAACATATTGTGGAGGGAGAATGAGATTTATGAATATTGATTCCTCTAATCCGTAGAAAAATAAGAAAGTGAAAACTAAATGTTCTACTTTTCTTTTGCAACTAAGATGTAGCGATGTTTAAACGGAATGGCGACAGCGAAATAAAAGACAACGTCGAAGGCCATTGCTATTGCGTGTTTGGCATATTGAAAGCAAGAAAGGGGAAATAGCAACTGACCAACTTAACAAGCTTGTATAAATGGATAGCAGAGCAGAGACGAGGAGAATAATTAGAAGACAAAATTACTTAGACCTACGAAGGATAGGAAATTGTGGAGAGCCATGATCGATCCCGCACTGAGAAGATACGGTACATAAAAGATCATTAAAGGTTATCTTGCCATATGCTTTCATATATTTTTTGTTTTTATTTGGTTATCGAGCAATAACAAAAGCTAAGTTCAAATCTAACGTAGTGAGCGTCGCTTTTTACGTCGGTCAAATTGTTTTGATTTTTTTTTTAAAATGAACTTATCTGAATATCTATCCACCGTTATTGACGCAAAAAACATGTTATATTTTGGAAACATTAGTAAAGCAATAAGAAAACCGTAGCATACGCGTAAAAGTTGTAGAAAATGTGGGTTCATACCGGAAATGAAACAGTAGGTCATTTACATGAACGACTTTTTTAAATGTGTTGGGTACGCTTCGTTAATTACATCTAATTTCCTCGTCTAGTATAAATCGATACCAAACGAATATTTTTGTATATTTTATATTACGCTAGAAATGTTTAATTTCTCTTTTATATATTACATAAGCCGATTTGTTCGCTGTATACAAGAAAGTATGGCTCACTATTCGTTTGGTCCTAATCATATGATTTCATCAAGGTTGATATCAGTATTTTATTAATATTCTCAAATAATGTAACACTTTTTTTTCAACTGTACAACGTAATGGTAATAATAATCGTGAAATCAATGGTTATAGTAAAATGAATTGAAATGGTAATCATGAAATTAGGTGTTTCCGTACAAGATATATTCGATATTCATTGATCGAGCAGTTAGCGTTACAGCCGAAAAAAAATTTCTAAAATCTTTTTTTTTTTTTAATATTCTTAGGTCCGCTAGCTTTTACCGCTCTTCCAAGTAATGATGGCCGTTTAATTCCCAAACAAACTTTTGCTTAAATTACTGCGGAAAGTTAACATCTTTATATTATTTTCCTTTCTAGTTACATATGCTTCTCATTGTTGTTGTTGCAAGTGTTTAAACGAAGCGGTTGTTCTCATTTGGTAATTCTTTTGTTTGTAGTTCTGTAACGCCAGTCTATAGAGGCTGACAAATGATTGTATTTTTTTTGAGGTATGAAGGATTCAATGGCGTGAAGCCATTTTTAACTATTGATCTAAGATAACGTTTGAATATAGATTATAGTTTATGTTATGGGGTCCACCCCTTTTTCATACAAGTGGACTCGACCAGGGTGTATTTGTACTGCTGCCGGTGAATACGCAAGAGGTAGAGTAAAAGAGAGAGTAAGAATGTGAAGTAACCGCTTTGTAGGGGTCACAGTTGCGAGCACGTAGACACAGAAGGAAGTCATACTTCGATACTGAATTTCCCAGGCTGTATATATATATATATATTATTATTGCTACTAACCGCATTTCTGGATCTACTAACCGTATTACCAATTGTATTATTACGTCATTACATTTATTTGCTATATTTCATTCCTGCGTTTGTCATTCATTTGAGAACGGATTTCATCCCGGAATCCACAACAGTTTATATGTTTCTGAACGTGTTGATTGCCATACATATATATAAAGCTGTAGCCTCTGTCTGTCAGTTTGTTTTCGGACTCATTCAAGGGTTTTGGAGATAGCCCCTCATAACCATATATAATCTGAAACTACATAACCTAGGGTATTTGGATAAGTATATTTCATTTTGATCAAAGGTGGTCTCGGGGGTGGTGCACAAACTCATCACTGAAATTTTGTTCCCTTTGATTTAAATTAAATTTAAATTTGAACAAGGGAATGGCTCCTAGGGTATTTGGATAAGTATATTTCATTTTGATCAAAGGGGGTCGCCAGAGGGCAGAAACCACCCTCCACTGAATTTTTTCTAAATGTAAATTTGAATAATGGAATGACTGTTATACAAAACATAGAAGGAGAAAGCCAGAAGATGGAGGTCACGTCGGCAAGATCAAAATGAGACAATATGGACGTCAAGTTGCACAAGAGATCACAAATCAATGGGTGGTGCCTTACAATACATATTTGTTGCGACAATTCAACTGTCATATCAATGTTGAAATCTGCTCATTAATTCATTCAATCAAGTATTGCATCAAATACATATCAAAGTGCTCACTTCAAGCTGTTTTCGCATAAACCACCATTTTTCCTTTGATTTAAATTAAATTTAAATTTGAACAAAGGAATGAATCCTATCCAAAATATCGGGGAGAGCAAGAAGATGAAGATCACACCGGCAAGATTATTGAGTAATATTGAAATGCATAATTTTTCTCTACAAATTATAAGTATGACTTAAAATCAATCCTCATTTTCTTACAAAAAAAAAAGTGTGACAAGCAGCAAGATATGGGTAATTCCGTTAGTCACATAATAAAAATCTAGATCTGATGAGGCTGTTTAAGAATGTGATTCGTGTTTTCTGGTTGATATTATGATATCTTAGGGTGCTAGACAAAGGAACACCTGGTGCAGCTTATCTTATGTTCGCATACTAAATTCGTCATAGCTGATTCACACATCAAGGTATTTGATGTAATCAACATTCGTGGAAAAAGCATGTTATGAGAAAACTATACAAATATGCTGATATTTGTTATCATTAAATTAAATGTAGAGACATGCATGTTATGAACCTCAAGTATTTCTAGGTAATAGATTAAAGTTTATGCCATTTTATAACAACCCATTTCCGAACATGATTAATTCTGTCAAAATTTAATCAAGAACTGACATTAAATTTATGATAAATATTGGCTGGAAAAGAGAGAGTATTATTGAGAAAAGTTTATGGAGAAAATTCACTCCCACAAAAAAATAGCAATTTTCAAATGACTATCTCATTTAAAAAAAGAACGAAGTGAAGTTGAAGACGACAAACAAATCGTCACACCATCAATATCTTTTCTGGGAAAAATAGATCCTCTTAAATCTATAACTGATGGCAACTGAGGGCATTAAGAGCAGTAGAAATCATAATTAATAACCTAGTGCAAAATCGATTTTGTAAGGTTTTTGGGGTCCTGTGTTGTGATTGAGCCGAGCGTTTACGTAATAAATGTTACGATTTCACATCACAATTCATTCTGCGGTCAATAAATGGATTCATTCGAATTTCGCAGATGCAACAGTAAACACACTTCAAAGCGTAGAACTCTTTAACTATCACTGAATTCACGTGAAACCATTTATCGATTTTCTTCAACTTGCTAATTTTCTAGAGTTGGTTTGCTATTTTTGAAACGTTGACACCTATTACCTGATTCATTTCGCTAATACTTTGACGTTGGTTTTATTCGACAAGTCTTTTCAAATATTGATTGTCAATTACAGATGAATGTCTTCTACCACATTGATTTTCAAGACTCGTATCCCCATTTCGGAATTTCAGAAACCAATGTCGTATTGTTCGATCACAAGTTGATCCCTTATCCCATGATCTCTTACTGCTGACAGCTGTTTGAGAAGTTTTATAATCAAGCTTGGACCCAGGCAAATAAGTAAACGTATCTCTTCTTTTTCATGTTCAAGATGAGAGGTATATAATGTTTTAAGTCAAATTCTTTGAGACTGATATAAATTTAACACGGAGGACACTTTAATCATTCGAATGAGTAATAAAGTTTTTGACTAACTATTATAATAGTATATTAGAACAAATTAAAAAGGTTTATTCTAAAATCGGATAATATTTTCCGAACAGTATAATATTTAACATAAAATCTAATTACGCTTATTTTTGTTCTGTTCAAATGGTTAAGCAAACTCATTAGTAGCATTGTACACTTTGGCCCTTTCAGTCTCATGACACAGATGCACACAGACACACATACACTGTCTATATACTATTACTTTTCGGG